CAAGAAGAAGTGAGAAGTCCTCGTCGGCAGTCCAGGACGTGGCGCTGACGATGAGCTTCCATGGCGTCTTCGAAGTTGCAGAAAGATCTGAGGCGTACTCGGCTGTTTCTGGTAGTCGTGCTAGAAACTTCTCTCGATCTCGTCGTTCGATCGGCTGGAAGATAGAGGCTGGGCGATCGTGCAGTGCTTCTGCTGTCACGCCGTAGTCGTTTTTGAGCACGCGGGCCATCGCGTTGGTCACCGTGAAATGATGCGATGCAGCCTTTGCAAAGATCTTCTCGTACTTCTCAGAGATCTTCACAAGAGGGTGGCTGTCGCCAAGTTTCATAGCGAGAATGGTGTACCCAAAGTTATGCCAGTCGATGACTAGATCAGTGCGTCGCAAGAAGCATACCAGGCTTGCTACAGCGAGAGTTGGTATCGAAGGTGGGTTTTGCACGAGCGTCCATCTTGTAGGCTTAGAACGGTAACCAAGCGCGCGATACAACGACCATATCTGCCAAAGGACTTTGAGAGGTGCGAGAACTGGAAAGAGAAGTTTGCTGCTTGAACGCAGGAAGCTCGGCGCTGGTGAGAGTGGGATGATCTCGATCAGAGGATTTGATACGATCTCAGGAATAATGTCGGACTCTTCGTGGGTTTAGCCGCTTGCTGCATCTTGAAGATGAGTTCTACTAACCTTGGTAGCCGATGAGGAACACTTTTCCACCGTGTTTGGCGATGCTGAGAGCGTGGTATTGCATACGTGGCGACCGTCCGATGTCCCCCAATACCACCACTTGTACCGAGCGGCCCTGCTTCCATAGCATCGGCTCTTTCCCATCTTTCATCTTCATTTTGATCTCCTTTCCATCCTCGCCCACAAACCGAAGCGGCTTATCCTTGTAGGGATCATACTGACTGGGCAACGTCAATAGCAGCGCAGTGAACAGCGTCGACAACGTCACAACGACGCCTAGTATGATAGAGAATAGGCTGCCGTCCTTGTCGGGCGAGATGTATTCGTCGAACATTTTGGTGTTGTGTTAGTGCTGTCCAATTGCAAGGCGGCTCGGGCGACCGTGGCAGCCGCCGCGTGCGTCAACGCCAAGGGCTAGCCACGAGATGCGGAGATCTGAGCCGGGGTAGGACCGAAAGGGGAAGGCGCTCAATGACAGTCATGTCAATCTGTAAGACCCCTGAAACTTATTGATAGTGCAGCAACGCGCGCCGCTATCGAAACACCAAGACGCCAAAGCGCTGCGTAGCCTCATTGCAGCACACTCACGCTTGCTGGCTGCGATCCACGTTGCTTTTTCTCCCTCCAACACCGCCATCTCAAGGCAATTGAGCACCGTTCCATCGCGCATCGCGAGCCCCACTCGGCCAATTACCTTCACCGAGTCAAGACGACCCCATAGCGGGCGGACGAACGTGGCGTTGCGAATGGCGTCGACGTATGCGCTGCCTATCGCGCCCACCTCGCACACACACAGCCATGGCCGCTCGTCGTCACAATACACACCGGATCCCTCCTCGTACGCGAATGGCACCGTGAATGGTTCATCACCCGCGAAAGACCACGGCCATCGACACACGCGCTCTGATATGAACGGCAACGGGCATCTGCACGGCGCTGTGCGCTCGCCGTATGCCGAGTACAACAGCCCTGCGCATGAGCATGAGCACGGGCATGAGAGGTCGGGCTCCAACGATTCCACCTACACGCTGAAGCCGTTCTCGAATGGGAGACCGAAAGGGCGGGCGCGGGGTGAATCGGATCTGGGTCGCTCACCGGCCAGGAAGACACCTGCTGTTGAGAAGTATGGCTTCTCACCGGTATCGCCCATACAGGAGTCTCCAGCGCATGTGCCGCCTCCTCCTGTTTCTTCGTAAGTACCGCCTGCGACGATCAAGAGAACCACAACTAATACACCGTCTAGATCATGGCTAGAACTCCCCGAAGCCCTTACCGCGCTCCTAATACCTCTCCCATATCTTTTCGCCGCATTAGCATACCCCAGCGGCGTCAGACCGCCTTCCGAGCTACCGTCGAGTCTATCAGAAGCCGTGGCAGAAAAATCACCCGAACTCGAATACGCGACCGCAACAAGTGGCTTCCCGTTACTACATGCGCTCGCCCTCTCGTCTGGCACGCTGCTGCTAGTCGGTGTAATAGCCAAAGTCAACTCCAGTCTACAGCCACTCGACAGGCGGAAGGAGGAGAAGGGCACATTCAATATCAGCAATGCACCGAAACGCATGGCTAGCAACATACTCGGCGTCCTACTGCCGTTCTACGCAACTCTACACATAGGAGGAGCGAAGACAGCCTTGGCCATGTTGGTAGCAGTCGCTGCAGGCATCGGTGCCCTGGACCAGAAACCAGGGAAACACACACCTTGGGACGATATTCGACGAACATTGAGGACCAGGAAGGTGACCTGCGGGGCTCTTCTCATGAGCATGTCGGCTGATATATTCACCTCTGGCAACGTCACAGGCAGCTTGGTCGGCTATTTGGCCCTTCTAGTATCGCTGCTCCTGGTCCCTCCGCCTCTTCCCACAGCAGGCTGGTCATTGATGACCGGATCAAAGAGTCAGGACTCATACATGACTCAAAAGCCATCTCGCGCATCGCTGCCCAAGCCCTCTTCACTATTAGTGAACAGTACCGAGAATCAGCTACTCACCATTGCTTCAGGTCTTGTACTCACTGTCACAACTATTTTGTATTCACTTGTTTCTTCTGCCACGCCCTCTTTGTCGCATCACACCCTGGGCTTCTCAACTTTATCGGTTGCATCCACTACGGCGCTCGTTTTCCTGTCACTTCCCGCATCATTACGGAGTTCAAAGCAGGTTGGATTGAGATTGAGCGGCATTCTCATCTTCGCCCTGAGCTTCTTGGAACACCAAGCTCTTAGTCATTTCAACATCGCGTTCCCTTGGGTTTGCGCTATGCTAATCGCAGCGGTCGCTGTCGACACTCGTTCTTCTGTACCCCATTCGCACGAGCATGGACATGCAGGACACAAGCATTCGCATGGTCATGACCACGGCCATAATCACGATCATCATCTCCATGGAAATCATTCTAGGATCTCGGCATTCCTCATCGCGCGCGCGACTCCAGGCTCGATTGTGCATAGCGTGCTGATCGAGCGGGATTCGCGACGCATTGCGTACTTTGGCGTGTATGTCCACTTCTTTCTACTCAGCATATTCTGCAGTCCAAATCGGCTTAACTAACTTTAACAGACTTAATCTTTCCTTCATGATGGTTCAGTTCTTCTACGGCTTCGTCAGTGGATCCTTGGGGCTGCTCACGGATAGTATCCACATGCTCTTCGACTGCGCCGGTCTCGCCGTGGGACTTGCAGCAGCAGTGATGAGCAAGTGGCGCCCCAACGCCCGCTTCCCATACGGCTATGGCAAGGTCGATACGTTGTCTGGCTTTGCAAACGGCGTCTTCCTTTTGTAAGTTATCATGACGTATACTTCTCCGCGTATATACTAATCAGAACCAGACTGGTCAGTCTAGAGATCATCTTCGACGCTTTTGAGCGCCTTTGGGAAGGTCACGAACTCCAGCGTCTCAATGAGCTTTTGATTGTCAGCATCCTCGGTTTCATCGTTAATATCGTGGGCCTAGTAGCCTTTGGCCATGCCCACCACGGCCATGGACACGATCATGATCACGGACATGAGGGACATGACCACGGACATGGCCATTCCCACGACAACGAAAATATGCAGGGAATCTTTCTGCATATTCTCGCCGACGCGCTTGGCTCTGTTGCCGTCATCATATCTACTCTTCTTACAAAGTACTATGGTTGGTCAGGATGGGATCCGATAGCGTCCTGCATCATTGCAATCCTAATCTTCTTGTCAGCGATCCCGCTGGTCAAATCGAGTGGCGCAAGACTCATGCTGAGTATGCCCAACGACCTCGAGTATAGCATCAGAAATACCTTAGGTGAACTGGGCACATTGAGAGGCGTTGTCGGATACGCGGTACCAAAGTTCTGGCTTGAAGACGAAGGTGCTGCGCACGCGGAAGCACACGCAAAAGAGGATCATGATTGTGGAGGCGGCCATAAACACGATGACCATCCGCACGATCATCACGAACATGATCACTCCCATTCACACGACCACAGCCACTCTCACTCGCATTCTCACGACCACGCACACTCTCATGATCACGGCCATGATCACGGACATGCGCATTCACACTCGCATGATCATCACGACCACGACCACGATCATAGCCACGCATCAAAGCAACGCCGCATTCTCGGCGTGATTCACATCATTGCCAACCGCATGGCAGACCCAGAAGACGTGCGTGAGCGCTCATACCAGTTCCTGAAGGACCGGGGTATGGATGTAGTAATACATGTCGAGAGAGAAGGCGAGGGACGGTGCTGGTGTGGAGGTGGAAGTGAATACAAGGTCAACTAAGCATCCGTTGAGGTGCTACAGCCTTTTTTTTTTCCACAGTTTAGCTAATGCATGCATGGTATGGTAGCAGGTAGGAGGATGTATTGTAGGAGAGTTGGATAAGGCCTGTATATCAGGATATAGACATGATGATCTTTGGATCATTAATGCGTTTCTGTGTTGATGGAACACTCATGGAACTAGTAGAACACAATGCTTCGGTGCTTCGACGGTATTCCATCGATGCAGGCCTAGATCCCATGCAGAATTTTCTTGGACTTCCTATGACGAACAAATTCCTTCAACTGCAAGGTGCCAGTTTGTACTTAGGAAGTTGGGACCATTTTGATTGAATTATCTCGGCTCGAAACATTCAATGTTGGGCTTGGGTCGATGCCCAGGTGCATCGCGAAGCCGCTTAGTCACGCAAGTCAAGATAATGCTGATAAGGTACAGCGCGTCGCGAGCTTGAGCAGAGAACGCGACTCATGGACTTTACGCCCGTTCATACTTGTCCGACGAATTTGAAGATTTCATCACTTACCAATCATGTCAATGCGCACGCGTGCGCAATGTCAGTATTACGAGGACGACGTCATGGATGCTTCCTAAGCAGTAGCTTGGGAAGAAATAGCTCTCCACATGCATTGGCCGCATATAACCCCTCCATAACGCGCTGAAGTTACCCCTCTTCATGTCATTACTACGACCCTCCATCTCCTCACAACTCCGACAATTCACACGTCTCCCCGCCCAAACGCGCAAACCTCTCCGATCGCACTTCCACAGCTCACAACCGCTACTTCGCATACTTCCCGAAATGGCTGACGGCGAACCCACCGGACTGAAGGCGGACAAGGGCATCGAGCTGCTCACCTTCGGCACACCCAATGGATGGAAGGCTAGCATTCTGCTCGAGGAGCTCAAGGAAGCCTACGGAAAGGACTACACATGGCAGAGCATCAACATCTCGAAGAACACACAGAAGGAGCCCTGGTTCACCAAGCTCGGTCCCAATGGACGCATCCCGTAAGCAATGCCACCCTACGAACTTCTCGTGAGACGCGTACTGACCTTGGATACCAACAAATAGTGTAATCGTCGACCACGACCAGGGCGGCTTCGCTGTCCAAGAAGGTCTCTCAATCCTCACGTACCTCACGCGCCACTACGACCCCGAACACAAGTTCAGCTTCAGCGACCCTCTCGACGTCTCGCGCGCAGAACAATGGATGGCATGGCAACATGGCGGCCTTGGCCCTATGCAAGGCCAGGCCAACCACTTCAACCGCTTCGCCAAGGAACGCATTCCCTATGCCATGCAGCGTTACACAGGCGAGACCGAACGTCTGGTCGGCATCCTCGACTCGCACCTCGCCAACACCGACTATCTTGTAGGCAACAAGTTCAGCATCGCCGACATTGCCAGCTTTGGATGGGCCCACATGCTCCGCTTCTCCGGTATTGACCTCGATTCATTCCCGAACGTGAAGAAGTGGTTGGAGCGCATACAGGCACGGCCTGCAGTCCAGCGCGGCTTGGATATCCCGAGCAAGAGCGGCTTTGGAAACGACACGTACTTGCAGAAGTTGAAGGATGACAAGGAGTTTGCGGAGAAGGAGAACAAGCTCATGGAGCAGATCAAGGCCGCTAAGGAGCAATATGGCTACAAGTACTCCAGTCCTTAGACATTTTTATGTCTTTGGTATGCTGGATAACTGTACGTGAGCGTAGTACAAACCGTGGGTGATTAATACCCCGCGAATAAAACAATATTACTCTTCATACAGATACCGCTTGTGCCATCACAGAGACGTCTTGAAATACATCTCTTCCAGGCGCTGAAACTGTCAACCTATCACACAGTCCAATGTTGCTTGTCGCACGCCATTTCCTGCGACAGCAAAGTTACCTCGGACTTCACGGTAAGTTTCATGATGCAGAGGCTGGAGTATTGCCAGCGAATCACATTGTGAAACATCCCTGCTCTGAATGCAACGCTACTCGAGGTCCACTACGTCAGCGTCGGCACCTCAAACAGGGTCACCAGAACCACACGTTCACAACGCGCTGGACGTGTGGTCAGGCGCCAACGCATGGGTTGACGCTTTCGATGCCACGAAGCACTTCACGGTCTGATTTAAAAGAGAGGCGATGGAGAGGCGAATCATGCGTCTCCAGCGTTGCATCTTGTTCTTCCCACGTCTCATTCTCATCACCGCCGGCTTTGACAGTCGCGGGACAGTCCCTTCGTACTTCCATTCTATCGCGTCTTGCCTATCTATCGTTCCAGTAGCGTCTATACCCCTTTTATCGCATATCTTCCAAATAGCCTTGCTGTCACACCTTCTCTTTGCCGATCTTTCCCAATTCGCACCGAAAGAGCGCGTGCACAAATTTAATTAATCCCTGGAAGCCACATCCCACTCCAGGATCAACCCCCGACGTCATCGCGCTTGGAAGGAAGAGGGAACGGTGACATTGTCAAGACCCCGAAGTTCCCAGGGTCCAAAAGAAACCTTGTGTGCCAACGAGGTTTAGCACGCCCAAGTTACAGCGCAGCGGTGTTGTTTCGGTCACAGTACGAGAGACGACTTTTGTCTAATCACTGCGGCTCACAACTATTTCTTCTTCCCCGCTCTATCCATTGCGACTACTCCAACGACCGAGATCCTCTGCGAACCACCGAAAGACGAAGAGAGACATCCGCGCACGACGTTTAAATCAACAAACTCTACAAAGTCGCGCATCGCATCTACAATAGGTAAGACATTGTCTACCTGTCTCACACCACACACACATATAGACCAATTCCTCGAGCTCAGCTAACGCAAAAATGCTAAGTGTCCTTGCAGCCATGGGCTTCAAGTTCCTCTCGCGTAGCACTCTCCGGGGCGAGAAAGCCACCCTAGGAACCTCGCTCGGTGCGTCCCTCACCCCAACAACCATCCTGCGCCTCGTCCTGCGCTTCTTCCAATTCGTTATGGGCCTCACTGTCATCGGACTCTACGCCGTGGACCTGGACAACGCGCGCAAGCAAGGGAAATACGTCGACTCGAAATGGGTATGGGCTGTTGTGTGCGGCACACTTGGTGCGCTTTGCTCCCTCCTCGCCATGGTACCGCTCATCAAGGCGTGGTTCTTCTTCGCCGTTGATGCGCTGGTCTTCCTGTGCTATCTCGTTGCGTTTGGCATCTTCGGCAAGATGTTCATCGGTGAGAACCCAGAGGGGAACAAGGGTATCACCAGGATGAAGAACGGGGTTTGGGTGCTACTGACCAACATGCTGCTTTGGTTCATTTCTGCGGTCATTGGGGGTATCATGTTCTGGAAACACTTCAAGGCAAGGACTACGCATACTGGCCGTGGCGCTATGCACGTCTAAAGCCCCCTCCTATCCTACCCTTCACATGAGGGACTGGGAATGAGAGGTGTGCTGACAAGATGTGCTTTCTGCAGAGGTTCCGGATCAGTTTTGAATTCGACAACGGACACGGCGACGATGCTTCCTGGCTTCATGCACCCAAGACGGTTGCTTAGGGGCCACAATCGTCAACATCAAGAGCTTGTTCCAGCGTGAACGGTACGACCAAGTCTCACATTCTAGCCGTGTCAGATGAAACCCGTCCTCCGTCGCTCGTACAGTCACCACACCCTCCAATGCACTACTCCAGAAGTTTTCTTCCTCTTCCCACGATTCCTTGCACTGCCTGTTGCAAACACCAGCACCATCTCTCCGTTCGAAACCAGCGTTGTATTTCTGCGCCACTACCAAATGTATCTACATCCACGCCCCCGCCTACGTACCACACGAACCCCACCACCACTGCATGTTCCACAGCGTCCACGAGTAATGAGGAAAGAGTTGTTGGAGATGACACAGACGAGGTCTCTGCGAGCTCTTTTCATACTTGGCTTTCTCATTTCCCTGATCATTCGATACCCTTTGTTTTTCGCGAAGCGTTGTCTTGAGTAATGCGTTCATTTAGTTAGCAGTATCACTGGTAACATCATTGAACAATCTTATGAAACAACTATGCCAAACTATGTCTCCGTGTTGTGACTCATGATCGTCAAGATATGACAATGTAGGCGTATGTATCTATTTGAAGCGCGAGGTAGCCGGTGAGATACATGATACATGTATGTTGGGTGAATCTTTTGACGTTCATGTTGCTATACTAGCACATTTCATTGAGGATAGAGTGATGATGTGTCACAAAGCGACCGTGTGACCGTTTGGGCGAGATTTGCACAATGGACGAATATTTTCGAAGTCAGGGTGCGAAGACGTGACCGGAAAGCACATAAAGATCGGTAACGGCGCTGAAGGCTAAAGGGCTGGAGCTGCAATTAGGTGCGAAAGTTCGTACAAACGTTTTCCAGCATCATAATCACACAACGGCATGGCAAGGAGACTGTAGAGTTTGTAGAGTTAAAGGATTTATTGGTATCTCATATCCATTATCATGGGGCTATCGTGAACCCGGCGAGAGTCGTAGTGCTCATCGCTCAAACCATAGTGGTATCGTTCTGAACCTTGTGATTGTTAGAAAGGTGTCAAAGAAGGACGGGTGTGGACCACATACCGAAGTGAAATGTCGAACCGGTGCTCAAGTACTGAGTACTTAGATGGAGCGCTTGTTGGCCTCAGCGGAGCCCTCGTGCTTCTCCTGGTTCATCTTGTCGGAAGCAGCGTTCAGGGCACCGGAGGCACGGTCGGTGAGGGAGTCCTGGCCAGGGACGTTGCCCTTAGCCTGCTGCTTGTTGGCCTCCTTGTTGGCCTCAGCGGTCTGGCCCTGGACGGTCTCGGCGACGTAGTTGGCGGCGTTCTTGACAGAGTTGACGGCCTGGCCGACGATGCCCTCGTTGGGAGTGTTGGCGTTGGGAGCAGACATTTTGAAGTGTTTGGTATTTGAGGGGTTGGGTTTGGAAGAAGTGGTAGTGTAGATGAGGTGATGAAGGCTTATTGTGTGATGGAGGAAGCAAAGGGGAGACGGGTGAGGGTATTTATGTAGAGCAAGAGGGGTAGGTGAGGGAGGCTAGTGAGGGGCTGAGGGCTGAGCGCTAGGCTCCAACAGAGTGCAAACAAACATACGTCACTGTTTCCGGTGGTGAGTGACGTCACACAGGAGGGCCCATGGAAGGAGGGCCAGACCACGCAAGCGCGATGGGGTACCCGCAGCCACGAACCATCACATGCAATGCACAAACCCACGCAAGAGAGTGGCACTTTTTGAAAATTCCGCTGTCGATCGTGGATTATCATGCAAATCGCGTCATGGGCGAATGGACAATCATCTGGTATTCGCTGCGTGCCTGAATGATGCCCCTCTATTGCCCCGCCGGTGACGTCAGAGCGTGTACCGCGGCTTGCTTCAAGACAGCAGCCCAACAAAGCACGCAAACGCTTGCCGCAAAGAAGCCACACTTAAGCTGTCACGCGCTCCTGTTTCAGCCCGAGGATAGGCGGCAGCCGCACGAATGCAGGGCCAGCTGAGATCCGAGGGGGTCGGTTCCGGAAGGTGCTTGTTCCCGAGGAGTCTACTCCGCTGGCGGTGCTGCATACTGTGGCCTGGAAGCAGACATGTTGCGATGTACTGACAGCCAACACGTCATACGTAGTCCTCATCGAGATGTCTCCACCCGGATCCAGTGACCTGGCAGATCCGCCAAGTGGGGGTAGCTCTAAGGACAGATCTTCTTCCCGTGCCTTGCTTGACTACATGTTGTGGACACATGCTACGTCTGCGTACGAGACATCCAACACCCACCAGCAAACATGCAAAGACAATCGCAGATACGGGCACACAAGCGTCATGGATTCAACCGTATGAGAAAGGGGATTAATTGCCGCTGTGAGCGGATGATCTAATACCTCTATGGTACCAAAAATCTAAACCGAGAAACTTGGAACGAGCGATGCGAAGGGAATCGTGACAGCGCCTGTACCAGCAAGCCCACTGCCACTCGTGCAGTCGTCCGTCGTTGGGTATCGTAACTTAAAGGATGGTACAATGCGGTCGGTGTCCCCGGCGCTTAGGCCTTCCAGTATGCGTCCGCGACCTTGGGCCAGGTCTCGGTGAATCGGGTGGGGCCATGCGCTGCCGTTCCTGTTGATCTTTGCGGATGATTTGCCTGCAGAGGTCGACAAAGGCTTCATCCACATTGGCTCTTCTCCGAGCACTGGTTTCAAAGTACGGTATGTTCCACTCACGGGAAATTGCAAAGGCGCGTGGGCGTGGCACTGCTCGGTCTTCTTCTAGATCTGACTTGTTGCCGATGAGGACCATGGGAACGTTGCTATCTTCCTTTATTCGTCGTATTTGCTCCCGAAGCTCTGCCAGTTCCCAGAACGACGATGCCGATGTTATGCTGAAGACGAGAAGGAACCCTTGACCGGTTTTCATATACAGTTCCCTATGGGGGTGTAAGTCGTGAGTTGGCATGGGACTCGAATGGTGTATTACCTCATAGCAGCTACTTTTGGTTAGTCATGGGTCGCGTGTGCATGGGCGGCTGTAGATACTCACTGAACTGTTCGGTGCCTGCAGTGTCCAGGATCTCCAGAATGACATGACGGCCCTTCAGCGGGTCAGCAACAGGGTAGTGCATGAGGGTCGAAGCACACTCACGTCAACATCAAGCACCTTTCGGTATGAATCTTCAATGGTAGGATCGTAACTCT